TCATTTTCCGCTATCTGATAAGATGAGCCTGGAGAACCAAAGTCTTGTCCACTGTCAGCGATTGCGCAAAAGCAAATTCTGGTGAACTTACGGGTCATGTCTGGGACAATTCCCACCACATCTTCTTCAGAAAGGTCAGATTCCACCGGCGATGGCTCAGCGTAGAAATTGTCGGTCCGGCGGAAAACCAGCGGTGCTGGCGGCAGACTCCGACGCGGCTTTGTCGTATATCCCCGGTCTGAGAAAGTTGCTGGACGGGTTTCCCCCACTTGTGATGGCCAGAAATGTTGTTTTGCGGTGAGGTGCAAGTCCTCGGCTCGTCGCAACTCCGACTCAGAGCCGACATTGGCTTCGGCAGATGGCTTGTGCACAGTCAAGGGTAAGGGCTCCTGAGGACCCTCGTCGCTCGATGTCGATAGAGTCCCCGCAACTCGGAGTCCACTCTGTTGTTGATGCTTTGCCGTAACTGTCACTGTCAAGGCCCTCTGCACGTGGACCTGCATCGCAGGCGACCTGATAGTCGCGTCAAGAGCAAAATCCTCATCTCTAATCGTGGAAGGCGTGAGTGCGCTCAGGTCTTCAACTGGCAGAATAGGCGAGGATCGTCGACCGTATCCCTTTCCATGCGGGTCACGCCAAGATGAACTTGTCGCGGATACTGGCTCGTCGTGCAGTTGAGCAGTTGTAGGCTGAGGACTCTTCGGAAATTGAATCGACATCTCACCTAAAGTAAGGCTTGCTGGCGTCCTGGAGAGAGCGGTCAGAGTATTTGACTTGTCGATCTGTGGCTTGGCTTCAATGTGGTTCGGCTTGAACCCGATATCAGCTGGTAATATCGGTAGCTCAACCATAGATCGTGATCGCCGCCTCGTGATACGGTCGGTTTCGCTTGGTGTTGGGATGTTGGCGTGTAGAACATTGGCAAATTCATTTAAACGAGATAAATCATAGTTGATTTCCGCTGGTGTGTCATGCGGCTGTTTGAATCTCATGGAACCACACGACAGTGATCGCTTGTGATGCTGGAGGTTTGGGGACCCTTCTGCTGGGAAGAGGGCACGATCGATGTTCGACTTTCTTGGTATCGGTCGAGGACGATGAACCACCGACAATGTTCGTGCAGAGTCTTCTCTCTTGGTCAGAATCTCGTTCGCGTTGCTTCTGGGAATGACAGCCAATGGTGCTGATTTCGGGGGTTGGTTTCGCATTGGCTGGTATGGGCGCGGTACTCTTGCGTCGACAGGCAAAGAGAAGTTCACAACGGCTTCCCCTGCGGCTTTCGTGGGAGTGCGTGCTTGGAACGTGATGGGGGTCGAACGAGGAAAGATTGAAAGGGCTGGTGATGGCAACTGTCGAGGAGACTGTCGAGGGGATCGTCGCCGGACTTCCTCCGTTCCTGGTGACAAGAAAGCTGAAGTAGTGGCGGCCACTGTAGCCTCTGAAGATAGAGAGCTGTGTTGAGATTCGGCCAGTTTGACGGTCTCGGCCCAGTTCTCCTGGCTGGAAGCTGAGGTCCTGGAATTAGAGCTATATGCAGAGCTTGATGTGCTCAGTGTTGCCTGGTTCAAAATCTGTCGAGAGCTTTCCGGTTTCGTCGAGGCTGGCAAAGTCTGAGTTCTTGGTAGAGGGAAAAGTTGGCCTAGCACGGGAACACCGCCCATGCCAATGTTGGCTTGCCCAGCAGCTGGCATCGTGATCAAAGGTAGCTCTCGTTTGGGCTCCGCGGGAACTTGCAAAGGTTTAGATTCTCTTGTGAAATCAGCTGCAGATGTTCTCGTGAACTCGTCATAACTCCTCGGGCGATAGATATCCGCACTAGTTATCTGTCGTGTATTGAAGTCTCGCGAAGCATCGAAGTCATTAACGTCCGTTGGTTGTATGTGCTTTGAATTGTCGGAGAACAGTCGATCTTGGAACAAAGTGAGTATCCCTATTGAGTCAGTTTAGCTCATGAACGAATACTAGAGAGCAAACCTACCGATTAGTATCAATAGACCTACTGAAGGCACAGTCGTTCGAACAACAATGGGCATGGGCTGAATGCTCAGCATCAAAGGAGCACTGGTCTAAGCATGGTCAGTTATGATTGTAATCATCTACAGCTTGTCTGTACTTACTCCGGTCCATATGATCAAACCCAACACAACGAGAGCAACCGCTCGGGACTGTCTAGGACTGATGGCTCCTCCTTGGGTCTCCGAATAGATACCGCGAGAGATAACTCTGATTAAGAGGAAAGCGACGAAAGCAGTGTCAACAACAGAGACAGTAATCCCAACTGGTAGAATGGAGGTTTGAGTCAGGCAGACAGTATTCAGCTGTGGACGCTGAATCCCCACGAAGACTCCTCCAAGAATAAGTCGCAAGACAATAAATCCTTGCATGACGCCTATCTCGGTGAGAGATGCAAGACTGTGAGTGCTGAAGATCCATAATAGACTCTGTTGTATGGACACTCGTGCGAACTGATCGAATGTTGATGCAAAGGTAACCATGATCTGACAGCCTGGCATGGAGTTGATATTAAGTAAAAAGGCGAAGAAATCGATTTGAGCCCACAGGGCTGAAGAAATAAGGAACGCGATGAGGGCCAGCCTCGGAGCATCTCGAAAGATTTTGGAAGCACGATTATTTAGAAGAAGAAAGGCACCAGCTATACCAGCATGGGCGACCAGGCCACTGTGTTCTGGTTATTCGATCAGTTCGTATCGTGGCAGGGAATGACTTACAAAGTAAAGGCCGCAACCAGGGCCTGACGGTGATTGTTCGTCATGAAAGCAACATTAGTATTAGAGCGAGTGTAAAGAAGAGTAGATGAGGCTAGGAAATTGAAGAGGGAAACGAATGAGATCTTGGATCAACCAAGACGCATACTACTGCAGGTAGTTCAGCAGTATGTGCGATTAGAAGAGAATAATGGCGAAAAAAGGGAGATGAGAGATGGAACGAAATGCGATGCAACGATGGGAAAGTCACCAGAGCCGTCAACAGATGGGGACAATACTTTGAAAGGCAGAGTTGCACTTGCAACACTAACTATATCATGCTGGGTTTCAGCCGAAGGTCTTGGGTCAAACTGGCTTTGTTCGAGCTCACTCGCGTAGTCGCTTGTTTTGTGGCGCACAATCCGACATGATTGGGCAGAATAGATATATCATGGTGTTTCGTTAAGTCCCAATGTAGCATCTTCCGTTATGAAACTGGAGTCGTCGGAGATGGCGGCTGTTAGGGCAATACTGAGACGAGGCTCCAGACTGGACTCGGCGCTTGATACAAGCCGGTCCACTGTTGAACTATAACAGGCATGGGCAATAGCACACTGATGCCATATGAATAAGAGAGGCAGCCTGTTGGACTATAACCGCGAGGATTGAGTTATTCCATGGATCAGTCTTATTCGGAAACAGCTTCCAAGTTGGGGGAGAGACCGGTTTGTTGAAACATGGTGGAGGAGTTTGTTTGATTTTGGCCAGGAGATGGATGGTTGGCGAACATGAACAAAACACTTCAACTCGTGGCAATAAAAGTAATAAAAGAGAAGAGAAATAACGCTCGCCCTCTCGCGTTCAGACGAATTAACATGACATCCCATTACCCGTTCGGACAGTGACCGAGAGATGATTTGGCGGGGCAAAGGGAGGCCTGCTGTTGGTTGACCATGTCGCCGCCCAAGGCATGGCACAACTTGCAGGGTGACAGGCACCCTAGACTCTTGTGCATTCTAGGTAGTTTCCTGATCAGGTTAATAGAGGAAGAGGGAAGAGACGAGGATGAGGTTATCGCCGAGGATATAGAGTAGTAGTGATTATGGAAAGTGAATGAGTTGGAGAAATAAATGGGCATCAATACTTTCTATATTCTCTTTCTCAGTGGAGCCTCACTCTTATTCAACCCGAACACGCCCGAATGACGACAAGGAAGAGGGAGGGGCTTTGGGCTTTCTTTCCCGAACTGGACTAAAACACGGGCACTTGGATGCAACCTGTTGCTACCCTACGAACTTCCCCGGATTTTTTGTAATAACCTTACCCAGCGGCTAACAACCTAAATTCTGTGGTAAAACTCGATATCCATCTTCCAACGTTTGATAAACAGATGGCGACTTAGGAAGATGATTGGGAGTTTCCCGACTGTTGAATATGTTGGTTATAAGAAGTTATTATCAACGGAACCAAATCGAGAATGACTATCAATCAAGTTATTGCAACACGGCTGATCTGCAGTACTGGATCACCCGACCGTTGCCAGCCACCAGTCCCAAGGTGTTGAATGGAACTCTCATTTGTAGTCAACCTTGACAAGATGCAATCAAATACTATGGAACCCAGTTAGCCACTACTAATACGAGTCAAAACTCCACGGTCCAGGCGTTTCATTTTGGAATAGAAGCCGAGTTGGCTCACAGTATTGATGTATAGGGTAAGACATAACATAATGTATCAACATCAAACTGAACCTCAGTTGTTCTCTTGTCAAATCTCAGGTTGAATATATGGTAAAAGGTGTATTATATTACCCAGAAAGAGACAAGTCAGTCCTTCTCCATTGTCCTTCCTATACCGTCCATGGCCGGCCCTCCCGGTCATCTGCAAGAGTCACAACCGGGCCGGTAGATCAGCCTCAGACTTATACGGGAAACTTCAGCCTCAAATTCTACAGACCAGTTAGTCATTCATCCCGCAACCGCCAAATATTACTCCATCCGTTCAAAATTCTCATGACACATCCTATCAAACCTATAGCCAGGAATGATCCCAAATGAAAGCTTCTTATCAGCTGTCAAACTCGGGACTTAACCTCTTCTGCCTGTGCAAGACCCCCATACGCAAATGCAGCTACCGGCATACGGCATGCGGAATTACTACATTTAGACTCATGATTTGTGACTCGCCAATTGGAATCTACGCAATGGTCAGATGCCACAGTTAGCCGCACCACCATAACAACTGCTAGCCAGATGTGGCTGTATATTTTGAAAGTATACTGTTCATGGCAGTGACATTGAAAGGCGTGTAAGTGCTCTACATTAGCTGGTATTCTTCTCTCCAAGTACACTTCAAGTTGCTCGGCCATATGCACCGAATAATTTTATGACATGATATCTCGGCTCCGATACGACGACTCACATTGGCTTGCCTGTGGGATCTAAAATGATGCATGAGTAACACAATGCAAATTCGAGTATAAGAGGAAGAGAAATCGCCATGGTCAAAGGCATCGCTCAATACAATCAAGCTCATTCCCATCTTCCTCAGCAACAGCATCAGAATCAATCAAAATGGGTCGCTTCGATCTCGAATATCCCAAAGAGGCCATCAACACCGTCAAACGCGAAAACGACCGCGGTGTTTATGCCCTAAAGACCATTCACCACATCATCAACACTTGCCAGATCCTCCATGTCTCTTTCAACACACCCGTCCAACCCTTCCCCGTCATCCTCCCCATGATCGGTCAGATGGGCTCATTTGACCGGCCCAGCGCAGATATCGGTGACCCTCTGGACCTCTATCTTCACGGATATGTGTCAAGCCGCATCATGAACTTGGGTCGTAGCGCTAGTGACGAGAAAGGCATGCCCGTCTGTGTGGCTGCATCCCATGTCGACGGCCTTGTTTTGGCTTTGTCTACCTTCCACCATAGCTACAACTATCGCTCAACTGTACTCTTCGGCCACGCCGCCCTCGTAGAGGACGACGAGGAGAGGCTGTATGCCATGGAGCTCATCACCAATAGTGTGGTGCCGGATCGTTGGCGACACACCCGTCTCCCGCCGACCAAAGCTGAGCTCCAAAGCACTGGCATACTCAAGGTCAAGATCACTTCGGGAAGTGCCAAAATCAACAACGGTGGTCCCAGTGACGACAAGAAGGACATGGAAGACGAGTCAATCAAGGACCAAGTCTGGACGGGTGTCTTACCTATTCACGCAACCATGGGTGAACCAGTGGCTGGTCCTTACAACAGGGTTGATGTGCCAGATCACATTGCCGAATTCTCCAAGGATTTCAACGAGGACAACCAACAGTATGCCTTTAATGCTGCAAAGGACCCCAAAAAGTAGTTCTGACATAGAGTTGACAATTCAAATGTCTATTATATGATATATCCAGGAACATGTCATACCTAACAAGTCATCTAAGTAGAAGTATACACAATGATACGAAATATGTGCAATCAGAACATATACAAGATAGATATGTGTCTACCACTGCTCCCAAATCATACCAGGTAGCACAGACCGCATGATCTTCCAGTGTCCAGCAGCGCTGTCCTGGTGCCACTTAGTAACCTTGTCTGTTTCGTTCTTGTTGAGAACGTCCGTAGCCTCATCTTCAAGGAAGACCTGCTCCTTAATCTCATACTTGGGCAATAGCAAAGCCTGTCGAACCTGGCTTCGGAGGAAATCCTTCTGCCTGGGATTGCGGAAGATGACCTCTCCGGGGGTCTTGCGGCAGAAGATGACCATGTTGGTGAAGTCGCTTCCCCACTTCTCTACGTTGGCCTCGTCTCGCGGGCTCTCACGGAAAATACGGCAGGAGGGGAAAACCTTCTTGATGGTGCGGTAGATGAGCTGAGGTGTAGGAAGGCCAAAGTCACCAGCATAGTTCTAAGGGTAAAGTTAGTGCATGGCCTAAGCAGATGTTCACTTTACTTACAATAGCAATGACTCCATCATCCTTCAGCAAGTCTCCCAGTCCTTGCAGGAACTCGAGAGTAAAGAGATCAACAGGTTCTGCACCACCAGTGAACACATCGTGGACAATGTAGTCATAGGTCTTGGATTGCTTCACCAGGTCAGCTGTATAAGAGACAGCATCAGCAATGGCAGCAGGGCTGTTCTCCCGAAGATCAAAGTATTTTTGAGCGAACTCATAAACCACTGGATCAATCTCAACCACGGTAGTGTCAATACCGTGAGAAACAAAGGCAGAGGGGGTAGTTCCGATACCAAGGCCACTATGGCATGTTAGCGAGTAATGGTGAAGCACAAGAACGGGGGATTTACATGACAAGGGCGCTAGCTTCGCTGTCAGGCAAGGGAGCCTCCCGCTCAACAAGACGGACAGCCTCGAGCATGACGAAAACACCGTAAATCGGCTCAGACACTCTTCGGCCATTGAGCTGGACCCACTGACCTCCAAGAAGACTATGATCACAGCGCATTACACGATAACCTCTATCCAGGCTCTCGATGACTGACACATAGCCAGTTAATGACTCGCGGCGCTCCAATAGTGTCCAATTCTGAGCTGTCAAGGTGCTGTTAAGAGCCTCGGTAGCCATGGGTGTCATAACGTGAGTGTTCAAGACTGCTGTATGTAATAGTGCAGGGATAGCCAGAACGAGATACTTGGACGGTGCCACAATAGCATAAATAGCTCCCAAGGCAAGTTCGATACCGACACGAGTAAACACAAATGTACTCCCAATAAAACCCTGCAGCTTCTCCATGGACTGGTTCTCAGCCAGTCTAAACAGACCCCACGAGACAATGCCAGGCGCCGCATCTGCGACGAACTTGGGTAGTGCACTCAAGTCAGCATCCTCAAGAACATCGGCCACGGAGGCGGCCGAAACGATGGCCAGGGGGAACAAGGTGAAACCCTCGATGATGAGAGGACCCCACCAAGAGCCAAGACGGTCAGTGAAGGTCCCGAGAAGAAACTGAATAGCCGGGATATTAAGGGCGATGACTGGGAGAAGTTGAGAAGTTGACATGGGAAGAACCATGCGAAGCATCAAGTTGCCGGCCCAGCCAATGAAGCAAGCCGCCTTGAGGGCAGTTGTGTGCGTGACAGCAGAGGGGATGGAGCCAAAGATAGGAGACAGGTTGAGCTGCGACGCGCTCGACGCGACACCCAGCAAGCCGAGGAGCAGAAGAGTCTGGAAATAAACAAGTGCCTGACCCATGAATCGCTTCGCAAAAGTATCTTCCTTGGCCTTGGTCGCAAGTTCCTTGAGTTCCTTTTCAAACCGTTCCGGCGTGAAGCCTTCAGGCGCGCCAGTCGCCTTGGCCGATTGGCCGTCCTTTTTGGGAGCCATTGTGAGATACGAGGGCAATTGATAGAATGAATGTACAGGAAACACAAATCAAGATATGAATAAGAAGGAAAATAGACAAGAACAGTCTGACCTGGCGATTCAAATGGCCTGCACTTGAAGCTCGTTGACAGTTGGTTGGTTACAGATGAAATCAAGCTCAATTAAGGTTGACGTGGCGGGAAACCGTTTTCTTTATTCGGATTCTTGTGGCTGGTGCAGTGGCTTAATCGAAATATGGGGCCGCGTTGGATAGTGCCTGGTATCTGTAGAGCAGATAGGCTTCAGTACCGGTATATGGCAACAATTGACTTCTAATACACGTGGTAAACTTCTATCCATTTAATATACTCATGCTCGACTTCGTGTCTCACCACTAACCTCATGGTAGTACCTATCTAAACATTCACTGTCTTGCATACGCAATGCTGCATTAGCCACTCGCATAGCAATTCCCTCAGATCGAAGCTGTCACTGACATAATTACCATGATAAGTATACTTCCATGGCTGTTCTAGTTGACGAGACAAGACGACGAAACATTCTCTGGAGCCAAATCATGAAATCCAACGTGATAACTCGACTGCTAGTGCCGCCATTCCTCGTATTATGCGTGATTCATAAAAACCCAGTCCAATCTAACTGATCATGCACACCTTGCTTTATGCAACTCTGAATTCTCGATGCTCATATTCCCCATATAATGCGCCTTCATGCTGTTCCGTCATATCCTGAGCCCTTCCAGAGGGGCCCCAAAACCAAGGTATCATTCATCAAACCAAGCCCAAATGATCAGAAAGAAAATAACCATGATAAGGCCCAAAAGGATGGCAATATACCCATGCCAACTCCTCAGCCTTACCGAATCGCAATGCAGCAACGACAGAAACGCCTGAACGATGCAAGCCGTGGCAATATCTTCCATAACAACACCTCTGATCGTTCCTCAATCATGGTAGTTGTCTGAATATCGGAACCTTCCTCTTTTAAGTGTATCGTGTTCCCGTATCTTCCCCCAATTCTTACATCCGTGTAGGATAGTCTTCCATGTCGTCGTCACTACTTTCATCCTCCTCCTCTTCTTCCTCATCATCAGTCCGTGGACTGTACATAGCGCTCATTTCTGACGCACTGGGCCTGCTGCCCAAGCTGTCAAGAATGCCACCACTGAAAATGGGTGGCGCGGAAACCGAAAGGTCAGCGTGACTCCCATTCCTACTCATGGAGGGTTTTTCAGGGAGCTGCTTGAGCAAGCCCGTCGAGATATCCAACATCGTCATGGCAAACTCAGTCAAGCCCTTCCCTTCCCCAGGTTTTGAGCTAACTGAGAGAGTCCATCTATACTCTCCCAAACGCCTTCGATACCAATCCGCTTCCTCCCGCCCAGGTGACGTTGCCCAAAGGAGCGATCCAAATGTGCCAATCAATGCAAAGTTAGTCTTGGAAGCGAAGTACCAAAACGAACGCAAATGGTTGGGTCCAAGTCTGTTAACAAAGTCCATGGCAGAGATGAGGCGTGCTTTGGCGGCACTGCGACAGATGTGCTGCACGTACGAGTCGACAGAACTAGACGGAGATGCCAATGATCGGATAATTCGTCGATGGAGCGTAATTTCGGCCGCAAAGTATGCCAGATGGAGATATCCAATACTCGACAACCTGTTCGAGGAAGGGTTAAGAGAAGAGTATGAAGAGTCGAGGCGAATTAATTGCGGTAGACCTCCGTACCACTCCTTCAATTTGAGCTGAATAGGTTTTGCAAGCGACAAAACTAGCTGTGTCCCTTGTTTGCCTGCATTTCCAACCGTGTTCATGGCCTGAAGGGTATAAAATGTGTCCAGAATTTCGGAGAGGATTTCCGAAAGTTGCACCACTCGGGTAAACAATACCCTTCCCTTCTCAATATCAAGCTTCTCCTCCGGATCGTTCTCGTCCCATTCAACGTCAGGAAAGTCGTTTGCTGTTAGAGGCTGAACACCCCAGTTAGTAGCAAAAATGTGTGATGGCCGCCCGTGAACGAGGGCACCCCATTTGTCCTGCATGTAAAGTGCCCAAGCCAATCGTTTTCTCAAGCCCTTCTCCCACGGTGGTATTTTCCAACCAGTACAATCCAGGTGCAACCCCAATTCATGACCAAGTGCGACGAGTTGGGCGGTAGGGGCCCACTGGTCGCCCTCGGGCCTCTGCGAAAGAAGTAGACCGGCCTGGATAGTTGAAAGCTTGGGTCGAAAAGTCGCTTCATCAAGAGTTGCACGGACGAGGCTTTCGAGCTCTTTAACATTAGGTCGTGGCAAACCAGCCAGTTCCTCGCTCTGATCCCACCAATTGATGGCAAGGATGTATACAGCCGCTAGTAATGGTGGTGAAAACTCTCGGTAAGATCTTTCATACTTTTCCATGAAGACATGTTTTTGGATGATAGGAAATCCGGGGTGCACGACTCGAAAGTATATATCGATGAGACGTCTGCCATGGGGTGCCACGATGGACTCAACATGATCAGCGTCTTGCGTCACATGTTCGTGTCCTGGAGTGCTGGAGTCAGGAAGCATCAAGAAAGTATCGTGTTCGCTGACTTTGCGAAGAGTGCCTCTTGACAGGAGGCTTTCGTCATGGGGATCAAAAGAGGAGAGGTTGATGAGTGAAGGTTCAAAGTCGGTAGTAGGACCAATGTACTGGCTGTAGCGATCATCCTGGAGGCCGAGCGTACGTTTTAGCATGGTCGGGCCGCCAACATTGGCCATCTCCTCCAGGAACGAACTGCTAGCGGCGGTGCTGGAAAGACTGGAGTTATGGTTTCGTCGCCTAGATGCGAGACCCGGTGAACTGTACGAGGCCAATCATATGTCAGACAAAGGCATGCAAGGAGGAACACGAGTAAGGTGAAAGGTTATCAGAGAAAGGGAAAGAGTGTAGAAGGAAACGATAGACGCAAGGGAAAGGCACGGGGACTGGTGGAGCATTCAAGCCAGGATGAGTGTGGAGGGCTCGCCGGCATGAATATGGAGAAGATTATGGATATGATGGGGATATCGGATTGATCTGACCTTCTTTTCCCGATAATATCATCACTAGCCTCACCATGAAGCTTCCTTTTTCGGGACTGAGGGCTGGATGAAAGGGAACATTCGGAGCCCGTAGCTTGGCACTGAATGCAACAGTCGTCATCGTCGTTAAGGATGCAGTTGACGCGTGAGTACCGACATGATAGACAAGGTGGGATGGAGGAGGCGTTGAAGGATGAACCTTCAACGGGTGCAGAGCTGGCAACTCCGTGACCCATCTCGAGCCTATGAAAGCTGTCCTGGCGATAAGCAGACGGCTCTGGCCGAGGAGGTTTAGGAGCAATGGCGATAGGCGCCGTCCTCTGGACCGGGGCTGAGGACTGGGGAGACATGGTGGGAGAGTACGGATAGATCCAGAACAATGTATGGAATCTCGATAACGCCGCAGGTCTGTCTGCTATCAGCAGAGCAAAACACCGACAGACAGAGGGTGTGTTGCTGTCAGGGCACAACCTAGGGCTTGAATTGTGCTACACCAGAATACCTTACAGGCGCCCGTTGCCCTGCAATAAACGGGCGCAAGATGGTTGAGCCTCAGTGGCTCCTTGAGTTGTCAGCCTCCCGTCTCGGGGTACAATGCAGCCCGGTCAATGCCAGTGCAGCAAGATTTCCGATATGGATGGTGGTGACGATAGAGAGATACTGTAGTTTTTTTTTGGGATGCGATAAAGCCCCACGGGGTCGACAGTGACGCAATGCGGTTAGATCTACGACCACTGAGAAGCGAGATGATAGGTAACGATAGCTAATAGAACCACGTTATCCAAATCAAGTTGAGTGAGTTGATTCGAGTCACACAGACGACACGAGTCAATGGTTGGTGTGAGATAAGAATCTGGGGAAACGGAAGACGGGATGGATGGGAGGCGAAGTGATGCAAGGAAGATGAGAAGAAGGAGAAGGGAAAAAAAGATAAGAAAATGCCCGAGCGAGCAAACAAAGTGTGTAAGTGGTTGGCGAAGAAAGACGGGAACCAGCGCGAGCGAGGGCAAAGAGTGGGATCCAAGATGCTGGGATCCAATGTCAGGGACTTGCTGGGATGATTGGGATGGCGGGCGCAGATGGGCGCCGATGGAGTCGAGGAGTCGAGTCGGTCGACAGCGTAAAAGTGACAGTGACAGAAACAGAAACAGACCAGGGGTATTTTTGGTTTATCTGATAAGGCTTCTGCAAGCGGGGAGAGGGTATTGACTAAGAGAACGATAATCAAGTTGAGAAATACCGAACTCGGTCCTTATTGTTGAGTCAGTTCTCCTCTCCTTTTTCTCTTGTCTTGCCTGGTCTTGTTTTGTCCTGCTGTCCTCTCTTCGTCTACTTTCACTGCAACCAATATTAGACGTATGTAGGTTGCAGATGCGATAGCCCGGAAATTGTACGGCGATGATGCGGTGCGACACAACAAGCGAAAGCCTAGACAGGCAGGACAGAGCACGATAAAGTACAGTACCGTTACAGTACTGTCTAGATCGTGGGCGGCAGCGATAACAGGTAGGCACAAAGCAAATTGAATGACAAGGTGCTTGCCTTGGTACGCCCGTTGTGAGCTGTCAGCTGTGCTCTGGCTGGTTGATTTGGTGCTCCCACAGCCAAAATGTCTTGACTTTTGCAGGCGGGGATCAAAGCCTGGGGAACCGGGGATTAGATTAGACTGGGTTTGGTTGGAATGCAAATGCAAATACAGATGCAGATGCAGGGCCAGGGTAGCGTCCTGAATCTCAATGCGTCGTCAAGTTACCCTCTGCTGTGACCTGATTCGATCCAGTATCGACTTCGCTGCTTGGAGAAGAGACAATCCGGAGAAGCTGTGTGCAACAACCAACTGATATTGATAACAACGATGATAAGGATGTGCAGAGGCCAGTGGTAGAGGGTAAAACCTGGGCTGGAGGCTTGACCCTTGTCTTTTTCCTCTCAGGTAAATGCGAGATAAGCTAACAGACCTATCAGATTTCGACGTCATCAATCAAAAACGACCGACTGGGCCAAAATCAGCTACCTAGTCGCCCGACAGTGGCGCGATGGGCCGGTGTCGCAGCCGTGAATAACTTATTTATATCAAAGTATAATTAAGAGTTGCAATAGCCGTCCGTTGCCTGAACTGTGTCTTTTGTGGCCGGGCAGTACCCGAAAGTGAATGAGGAGAGAAAAAGAAGAAGGGGGGAAAAAGCAGAGAGGAGCAAAAAAAAAAAAAAATAGCAGAGATGCTGCTACTGTACTAAATGATCATGGAAGGTTTTGGAGAAGGGACATGAAAGTGCAAAAAGACAGGCATGTGAGAAAGACGAACAGAGAAAGAATACATCCGGCTTGATGGTATTCCCCGCAACGCCAAAAGTACCTGACCAGGACTTCTCCCGCCAAAGGGTCCCGTTCTCCAGATCCAATCCCCAAGTTCCCCTCTGTCAACTTCGGGACAAGCCTTGTCAATTGGTGTCTAAGAGGCGTCCCCCCAAATTCGAAGGCCCCGGAGCATGTGCCGAATGAGGAATCTCGAACTTGGGGAACATGGCCCAGGAAGGGAGGTACTGAACTTCAGTACGGATATTTCGTATCTCAACATCAAACGATAAAGGGAAACGCAACATCTGGGGACATTCGTGTTGCTGCATGTACAGTTGGGCTGTCATACCCTCGACTTGAGTGGTTCTTTGCTTGTCCTTGCACGCAAATATACTAGGGGCGTAGTAATCAATGACTCAACAGACTGAAACATCAAACCTTAAGCTCTCTCATGAAGAGATATCCACTTGCTGCAAATCATACCCTTCAATATCAAGTCGCTTCCAATTTCCGATGTCCCAAGACATACGGACGGTACCTCAGCGGGAACACAGCCTTGTCTGAATCATGGCTAACGCTGAGCCGTTACATGGCCCTAGTCATGTAGACGAAGACCAGCGTGCGCAATGGGGAAATTTCTCGGCAGCGGCGTCGTTGCAAAATGCCCAGACAAAGACCAGCTCACTTTTTTCCTAGGCCGAGGAAAGAAATGGGCCACATCATGAACAACCCCGGGGTCCAGAGTCTAGGTCCGGGTCTGGTGTTGCTGTGTACTGTACATCCGAGCGAGTGAGGATGAAGGCTGTGAGAGTTGAATGGATGAGCAAGCTTATCTCTAGAAAACCAGAGGAGATAGAAATACATAATGGCAAAAGATAAGTTAAATCAAGAAAAGAGGAACCCCCCAGCCGTCAGAGACATTTTTCTGCACAACCACAGATGCCAGTTTTGAACACCATCTCAAGAGGAACCCTTGAGCTTGAAAAGTACAGTATACACGAAATGACCATGTAAATGCTTTGAGAAGTCAGGTATCTCATACCAGCTGACCAAGGGCGTCCCTCTGAGCCCATTACCAAATGGAAAACCATCTGTGAGCTTGTCTTGCCTCATTCTGCATGGTCCGGCAGTTGTTTTAACGTAATGGCTCGTCCGGGGTTGATTTACCGCTACAGTCAAACAAGACGTCGTTACCCTCTCACTGCGTTTGTTAGCGGCTAAAATAACCTTTCTATCTTATTGGTAAAATTCCCGAGGTTCCTTACTGTTGGATTCGCTCGTCGTGATATGCCTCAGCTCCCAAACACCGCAAATCTCCCCTATCTGCTCACTTTTGGCACCACCGGCTCTATAACTCGCTGTCAGACCCGGCGCCGCCGCCGCCGCCGGCTACTTTCTACTAATCCGAATTACTCCGATGTTCGGTTCACAACATGTAGACTCGGTGAACCGTTTGCCAAAATTAACCTGTCATCAGTCAGTTATCTCCTGTTGCCAAGTGACGATCTTCTCGTCCCTATTTGATAGCAACAATTCCTAGAACAAGACAACATTAGTCATATGGTCCCCAGTTTCATTCCACCAAACCTTGACACAAACTTTGGAAAGACGTTGAGATGGGCCCCGCACGCGACAGTTTCTTCCAAGATCTATCAGCTCAGAGTTATTTATTGATAGATAACTTCAGATCCCTTGGAACAAATACACTCTCTCTGATTGGTCCATAGAAAAGCCCTCCCATCACGATCCGAAAATGTCCCTTGTCCTGTCCCTGATCTTGGCTCAACAGAGACTCGACCCCTGTGTCGTGGGGGCGACAGGGGCACGTTGCCGGTCCTGTCCCGGCCCATCGCTATGCACGGGCCAATTTATCGAGATCCATCAAACACTGATTCTAGAGCGAGCGATATCTGAAGACCAAGAGCGCCATTGTTGGGTCCGGAGCTTCTGTCATGGTGGCTCTGACTTTGTTGATGTGATGCAGGCGAGATGTACGACCAGCTACACTATGTGACCCGCTATACAGACCGATAACGGTCCAACCCTCTCCGTCCAGCCCGAGGCTCTGCTTCGCTCGCAACCTCCGTTGATGTCATGTTTGGAGATGTTGAGTCAAAGCTCGGCGTTAAATTACTCTTAACGTTTTGCCACGTGAGTGTGGAGACGATTAGCGACAACGTTGTGGCCTCGTGTGTGTAACTCTTTATGGCTTTCAGTCTCGTGTCCAAACCATAACTCTCTCTTCATAGTATTCAGTTGGTTCATCTGAGCCACGAGCTGGGAGCATCATGTTAAGCTCTTCTCGAACCTGGAAACCTAGTTTTTGGTAAAACGAGATCGCATTCATGGTAGCCTCGAGAATAACTGGTGCATTCTCCTTGGAGGCTTCAGCCTGCACTCGGCGAAGTAAAGTGGACGCAGCCCCTCGGCCATTGAACTTGGGATCTGTGCATAGATATGTCACGTCTAGGAAATGTTAGTGCCCGAGAGACACATAGCCAAGGTAGCTTCGACCAAAAGCTCCAACTCTATAGGTATATAGCGGTCAAGGTTTGGAGGGCGATATTCCGACCTCCACTCAATAACTTACGGTAATAAGTTTTGTCGCCTAGGACCTTGTCTCTCTTGCTTTTAGTAAGATCCGCGTAGGGCTTAAGGTATTGACGACGGCAAAAGTCTGGAAACTCATCATCATCGGCTTCTTCGATCTCTTGTGACCACGGTTGCCGTTGAACGTTCCACTTAGCGAAACTCGCTATTTTCCCGGTCTCTGGGTCGCGGGCAACGAGAACACCCTTGTCGGCGCTTTGGACATGATCCATAGTATCTCTGAAAAGCCAGCCTCGGAAAAACTCCTTGCTCTCAGGGTTGGGAAACTGTGCGTGCATCAACAAGTTGATGTCCATGGCGGCAAAGAAGGTGTCGGCGACACCAGGGGCCTCATTCTCGGAAGGAACAAAAATTTCGAATGCCATCTTCACTAGGTGACGTTTAATTTAGTTAAAGAATGCGAAAGTCAACTATGAGATAGCAAGAAGAAAGCTGTGAAGTCGAATTTGGCCAACCAGAAACCTCACGACATCACATTTGTGGCCTAGACCTGGTGCACGTGACAGTCTGTGGTTAAGTCTCTATATCTTGAAATCTCAGAGCCCTTGAATTTAAAATCCGACTCCTTCAAAGTCCACCGAACAGTGTCGGTTGTATTCCGAGTGTTGAGTTTCTATCGTTATAGTTTGACATCCTGCATGACACAATGCTCGAGCCTCAACGATTAATAAGACTGGCTCTGTATAAGGAACAGCCCGCCTGATATTCTTCCTTATACCTCCATTAGTAAATTGCGGCGATTCACTAGTTATGCACATATTCTGGGTTGTAAAAAAAAAAGATCACTATGCCCCAAGTTAACTTATAGATTCCTCTAGTAGTTTATAGCTTGGCCTATATACAGTATCTACCAGGTAGAACGGCAACAAAAAAAAAAAAAAACCAATAGTTTCGTATTTATACCTTATAATCCAATCCTTCTTGAGAATCAGGGTTTCCTAACTCTTCTTCTCTCTCTCTACTAACACTGTTAATGAATGTTGGAGCTGGACCTCATAGGTACGATGGTGGGTTGAGAGAACTGCTAGGCAAAGTCTTTTGTTTCATTAGAATCAGTGCTATATACTAGGTTATACAGTTTTCTAACTTTCCATTGTATTGAGAAGAGTCTATCGCGATATCCTGTTAATCTCAATGAAGAAACGGTCCGCCACTTAGAGGTAGGGGCGACAACGCGTGCGCAGCTCGGGCATATCTCTCCAGTCCTTGCCTATTCGATCTCATCTTTATGGGAACTACTTTGTTTGCGTTCTTTGAAAGCCCTCAAATATTTGAGATGTCTGTTTCGAGGCCATTGCAGGAATTGTTTATTGAGTTGCTCTCTGAAGACGAAACCTGATAGCATCGGCTTCCAGCGATGGCAAAGTTATCTATTTTTATAGAGGGGTAAAGAGTTATATAAGTTACTTAAAAAAGCACAGAAAACTTCCGAGCTTATTCCAATACCTCATATGAGCTGAGAAAGAATCCAACCATGGACTTACAATAGGCAAGTCTCGGTCGGATAATAATGCTATAGGCATACAGCTACTTCAAGAGCAGAAATTGATTGAGATCTAATATAAAGATCTTTGGATAGCTATTGCTTTCCCTCACTGGTGTTTAATGAGAATCAATGTTATTGGCCTCTGCAAACCTTTGATTGTACATGTCATATCAATACGACGAGTCCCTAAAATTGAGGATCAGCCCAGCAAGCTTTACCTCATACACTTAAAAGACATTGGTTTTGTAGATCATGTTACATAGACTTAGGAATGGTTAAAACAACACTACGAGAGCTTGGGGTAAAAGAATTGGTATATAAAATCACGGAATTTCAGTCAGGGCAACAGTCTCGACGTTGGAGGGATTGACGCTCCAAGATTATTGGGCAACCATATCAGTACTTGGGCTGGGGAACCCCTGAATGACTTCATGTTGAAGGAGCAGTCAAGCAGCCGGTTGGCCATCTTTCAAGTTTCTCATATGAGAAGTGAAATGGAATGAACCTTCTGTTCGTATAGGCCCAGGTCAAGTTACATTACCTGACGGCTCAGCTTTCCTGGGGCAATGAATACAAGTGACTTATCTCGTTACAAATCCTCACATCACTTCACATGGTCTTCTAGACTCTTTTTATAAAGAGTTAGTACGTATTTTCATCCACAGTGATGATGTAGCTTAGAGACAGTTTCACTGTGCTAAGCACTTCAGACTTCATAATACACTAATTGGAGGATCTTTTTAATAGACATCTTGACATCACGACACGCACACGGAATGAATTCAAGATGTACAAGACAAAGGGGCCGCTATATGGCAACTATAGACCTAGTCTGGCGAAAAAATACAATCGTGACTCCCCGAGTCTGCCAGGGATTAAAATTACTTAAAAAGAATTTGTGCGGTTTGCTAGTGGTCCCTTATGATAAGCCGCGGTCGAGCATGCTAGCCCGCCGACGGCAGATATGATAAAATGAAACGCCGATGATGGCCGGGTATTTAGACAGGAGGGTTGAAAGAAGGAAGCTTGTTGGCACAAGCGCTGACGGCCTTGAGGGCCTTGGCGTTGGTAAGGGCAACAGCCTTGGCGGGCTGGGTGCGAGGAGTGCCGTAGACGGGGAGGTCATCCTCGGCGGCAGGAGGGGTGTAGGCAACGTCGTCGAGGCTGAGCTTCAAGCTGGGGACGGTGTTGATGTCAATCTTGGAGCCGTCGAGCTTGACAATCTCAACCTGGAGGCCGTTGTTGACGGCATCGGCAACCTTGGTAGGAGAGCAGGCAGCAAGAAGCTGAGGGGCATCGGCAGCCTGGTCAGCGGAGAAAGAACCGTGGATGATACCCTCAGCAGGCTGTCGCATAACGACGAGACCACCAACGAGCTTTCCAGAGACGTAGACGTTGACCTGGGCAGGTCGCTCAACCTCGGTGACATCGAGCTGGACATTAGCAAAGTAACGGGTGGTCTTGGCATCAGCACGCTCCTCAATTTCGCCCCGCTCCTCAACATCACGACGGCGGGAAGAACCGCTGCCATAGAGACGGTTGATGGTGGTTCGGGCGGAGCTGGAGAGCTGGCTGGCAGACATGTGCCAGTACTCGAGTCCAGCGTAGGTGTAACCGAAACCCTTGATGCTCTTGACAGTGTCAGAGGTGTGGAAGTTACCCCTGGATCGGTAGAAGGGGTTGAGAGGAGAGCTGGGAGTGATGCGGGTACCCTGGGGAGTAGAGTAACGGGCACCACCAGAGTAAGAGCCGGTGAAGGTAGACTGGCTAGGGTGCATGGCCTGCCAGTAAGCCCAGAGACGGTCAACGTTGGCGTGGTGCAACCAGAAGATGGGATCGAAGCCAGAGAACTCGGTGGCGAGGAACTGTCCGGCGCAAGAAGCATCCCAGTGAATGGCGTTGTGAATCTGCTCGAGAGAAGCACCGTTGGCACCGGTGGAGGCGAACTGGTTGAAGGTGGTAGGTCGGGTCATGACATCGTAGACCCATTGCTTGTAAGGTCGCTGGCGGAGGAGTTTGTTGGCACTTGAAGGGAAGCTATCGGGAGCAGGGCAGTGGTAGATGCGAACGCGGTGCTCGTCGTCCCATGATCCGTACTTGTTGTTGAGGGCGTCCTTGGGGAAGTTGTAGGTGTAGAGAGGGTTTTTCATGTTGATAGTCTTGAGGCCGCTGCCGTTGGGAACCTTGACGTTGACATTCTGCTGGGTGAGGATAGCGGGAATGCCATCGAGTGCCCAATCCCAGTAGGCGGCACGCAGATTGTTGGCTGCATCAACATACTGCTTGCGGTACTTGGAAGGGTAGAGGTTGGCCAGACGCTTGGCATGCTCGACGAGGATCTGCTCGTAGAGCAGGACATAGGGACGGTGCCATGTCAGGAAGATGCTCTCACCGTGAGGGCAGTATCCGGGCCAGCCATTGCCGCTTCGACCACCACCACCGTTCCACTGAATGAAAGGCTTTCCGTGAATACCACCAACCTGGAAGTAGGACTTCCAGTCAGTCTCCTTAGCATCGTACATGGAGCGGACGGCTCGCATGTAAAGGTCCCTGGTGTCGAAATTAACATTGGTTGTGTTAGCAACCATACGGCAGACTTACCAGGCGGGGCCGCCAGCCTTCTGCATGTCATTGATGCTCTTGCGAGCAGGAACAGCAGCTCCACCAGTGACCGGGACACCGGTGACGAAGATGTTCTGCTGCTGAGCCTCGACGGGGTTGACACCGCCGACGACCGCAAGAGCGGCAACTAGGAACTTGCCCAGCATGATGATTGTCCTGTAAAATAAAACGAATGTATTCGAACAGAAGTCGTGCGTGAATGTACGACTTTGCTTGCTCAAGAAAAAGGACAAGGTCGAAGAGGGAAGTGGTTAAGAGTGTGGGAAAGCGTCCGAGATATAGTCAAGTCAACCCTGAGCCATGACCACGCAACAAGACGGGGGGTGTGCAAGAAAGGGCTGATGGCAATGGCAATGGCCATGGGAATAGGTCATGATCCCTTCTCCGCATCCGAACCTCCGTCCCAGCTGTCAATCATCGTCAAAGGGGTTCGTAACGCCCCTCATAGTGGCCCTAGATGACAAGGGGGAGGGGGTGCGCAGGGAGGGCAAAGATCGATATTCCATGGGATGTGTCCACTGACGAAGAGTTGAAAGTTGCAAGGAGCAATGAGCTAGGAAGGTGTGGGTGAAATGGGATATGACCCATGTACATGGACAAGCCAGGGTCATGTATCCAATGTTGCTTTTCTTTGGTCTTCTCTGTGCTTAGTAGCTTGTTCGCTCGTAACGCCACATTGGATGGATCAGCGTCTGTGTCCCCGAAGATTAGGCCTGTCAAATTGTCTGCGCGTAAATTGTCTAGGCATTAGTCGAGACATCAATAAGGAGAAGCAGGTAAGCTTTCAGTGAGATCCATTGCTGATGGTAAGAAACTTGCCCGTCCTCTAGTACGTCGTATCTGATGGTTGTGAAAAGACCAGAAGGCAACAGGGGGGTAAGATCCAGGCCAGCCCAGACGAGCGGTACTTTGACCACAGCCCTGCTTCTGGGCTCTTTCAGCGGTTGGGGAAGCTGGAAGTTGGAGTTGTTTGTGCCTGGTGAGTGGGCCAAGCTAAGGCTAAAGGTGGTAGTGGGCCTGTCGCTCAGCGGCACGACACGGCACGATACGATACCCAAAGGACAAAGGGATTGTTGTGGTTGGCAGGTACTTCCATCGGACACCTTGTATAGGTGACATACCGAGGTACCGAATGTAAATTGCAATCTCAGGCAAGATGTAGCGTAGCGCCCAAATGAGCTCCCCTGGCGCGCTTAGAGCCTGTACCTGAAATTCTAACATGCCTTGCATGCCTAAATTGGACCCGTCTGTGGATGAATGATCTGAGGATTGGATGTGAAGAATCACGAGCAAATGTGAATTGCTTCCTGAAAGAGCTGAGCTCAACAGCTAGAATGCTAAACGCCCAGTTCAATGAGGCCATAATCATAGCCACAACTACTGTACATACAACCACGGTTAACTCTAGGCCTATCGCTAAACTGTCAACAGCGTAGCATCCAGGGACTCAAATTAAATTGATGCCAAGAGTAAAGCCGCCCCTACCTGGCAGAGTCTACTCCCTCGCTGGCAGGCTAGGTACAGGCCGGCACCCGGCACCACGAGCACACCCAGGTCATGACATGATATTCGGAAGATACTAAAAAAGGATCACCAGCGCGATGCGCTGACATAACAGCTTATCGCAGGTGCAGCTGAAGTTGCGTTTGGAGTTGATGATTGGCACAAGGGGCATCAGCCGTTTCCCGGGAACAACTCACGATGCGTCAAAACTACGTCAGGCACTATTGATTATTATTCCGAACAATTATTAATATCCATAGCACAATGATCAACGTTGGTGTTGAAGCAAACAGATCCTCTCTGGCAGGGATTGCGGTCCTGTGCAAAGAGGAAACCTGGACGCCCCGGATCTAGACGGAGATGCCGATTCGATCGGTACAGAGACGAGAGTGTAGCAGTAGGAAATAATCGGCTCAGTTATACGAGGCTCTCATCTGTGGTGCCTATACGGTATGGTTCGGTATACCTGATACATGATACTGCTGCGCGTGTCCAAGAAGGAAACAAACGGAGAAAATATCTCTTTACTCCGATCAAATGCAATCGCAAAAAGCCCTCTTGCTTCTTCAGGTCAGTTCAGCTCGTCTGTTTGTCTACCTGAGGCAGTCCATCACATCCATATTTGGCCTCTTGTTGGATTTGTTGGACATTGATGAAAAACCTTTTGGCCTTTTTTTAGCATCATGACGGGTTAATTACGGTCTCGGTCCTCGTGGTTCGTCCTCACCGTTTAAGCTAGGCCCAATCTCCCTCAAGCGGCTTCTGCTAAGATGCGAGCCTTCAGAATCCACCCAGTCATGAAACAGCCACCCGCTCGATTCGTGCATAATAGCCTGCCCCTAGACTCGCAATAGTCTAGACGGCTGAAGGAACTAGCAGCTAGTCTTTGCACTGGCCAAGGGGCGGAGGCGACAGCCTTTTGTCCCTCACCAGAGCCATGGGTCGTTGTCCGTGAAGCCATGTCTCAGTAAGGGGCAATTTTGCACTAAGGGAGAATTAAATTCATTAAATCCCCTCCCTCCAGCTTCTAGCTCGTCTCTAGCTCGTTGTGCCTCTGCGCATGATTCCGCTTCTCTTGGGTCCGTTTCAATTAGAACTATTGATTATGCTACTGTAGGATTGGAATTGCACCTCTTCCAGTTATAGCTATACGCTTGGCAATGCTGCATATCTTGTTGTTTCCCCATACTAACAAACAAAAAAAGATGGTGTTCTGCCGTAAGCCTCCATGCATGGATCTTCTCTTCAACCACTTATATCCTGACAAGCCCGCGTCGACAAACAACATGCATTTAGCTGCAGCCAATCCCGCATTTCTATGTCTGTAAGCGTCCGCCTCATGTAACTCGATGCATTCATGATTGGGACTATATCCTGCTGTTAAGCTTGAAAACCTCGTGTTAACCTACACACCGCCGATGAGGTATGGCCCGCCTGCATGAGGCTTCGATCCATTAACTTGCCGATACGAGCCGTACAGGTTCCAGCCAAGCAGAGCTGTAGGATGCCCGACTCGATACCCAAATATGGCATCTCGAGATGCTGATGCCAGGTTGGGCTGATCAGATCAGAGTTTGAACCGTTTACTAGGTGTTTGCCTCGTGCCTCCCCGCGTCCCAACGGACGAATTCGACGCCGATACCGTTGTCTGATTTAGGGATGTATTTTGTGGCTATAACCTCAATGGCTTGATGGCAGATGATGAGGCTATTGAAGCATCTATAAATCACTTTACATTGGCAGGAGGGCCTTGGAAGCAATCATTAACAATTCCCATGCTGGGTAGAAGCCTGTATTCAGCACAGGATAGAGATTGAGTTGAAGTTATTTTTTAGCTTATTGTCAGAAAGTTTACCGGCACAACCTCCAGAGTCACCTCACGGCTGACCCCGTACCGTAAGGTAAGGTAAGGTATCTAATGATGTGATAAATGAGGGGAACCCATGCAAGTCTCGATTGAATCTGAGATGGATGTGCCAAGGACGAGCAAGACCAATGCTTACGGCTGAGTTATTTACTATTTTCAATCAATGTATGGATGCCAACAAATTCAATAATTCATTACTAGTCCCTTGACAAACTTGGCAAAAGATCAGCTCGTTATGCGACAAGGTTGTTGTGCTCAACTTTGCTTACAGCGTCTCCTCTTGATGAATCGAGATCCTCTCCTCGCTTCTTCGGAAAACTCTTTTGCTCCGATTTAATTGCTGATCTCTCCAACGGTCCGGTTACATGTCGACGGTGTTTTGTCATGATAGCATTGTCGATTTCCAATCTGGGACTGAAACACGATGGGATCGACATGTCATTTGCCAAAAGGAGTGTTTCGAGGTTCCTGCAGATCGTCTTGGCAATAAAGGGTTGCCGGGAACTGGTTGACCCACGTAAGTAAGATAGATATTGGATGTTACACTCAACCAAAAACACCGCTGAATAAGTAACAACTACGGAGGATAAATCCAAGACAGTCTTGCGCGTCAGCCATAGTCACAGACACAATGCCTCTTGTCCACAAAATGTCTCATTGAATAGGGCAAATATGTACAGTATCACTGTTATGGCGCAACGCTAAAAGCAGTCATCATACAATGCCACGCCTTGTGAACCACCCATCGCATCAATACGATGCTGACCACGCCCGCTCCAGCTCCCGACTCATGCAGGTCCCGGGATATACACTCTGAACTCTGTGTGAAGGTATCATAGGATACTCTTGCTGCTTACGCCGATCCACTTATGAAAAGAACACGACACGATCCAAGTGTATCGTGCTATCAAAGCTCCCTCATCCATGCCAAGTTGTAAGATATCCTCCACTTCTTTTGCTTTGGTGTGACACTCGTGGCCGGCCCTTCATGATCACCGTCTCAGACTCAGAGCACACTCGGACTTAGAGTGATCTCTCCAGCATCACAAGGTCCTGAAAACCTTCCCTCCACCGCCTCGTTTGCTCTGTGTCTGGCCTCGGCAGTGGACTTCGTGCAAAGCCTCCGTAACCCATCCAAGCCTGTAGTCCAGCCTTGACACCAACCACACCGCCCTGGATCGCCGCCCAGTCGCCCTGTGAGACCACTTCCTGCATCTTTTGTGCTTCGGAAACATTGCCTTGCAGATAGAGTTCCATGGTCTTGATGCATGACCTCGGGGCAATGTTGGCCAAGCCTGCCAGGATGCCGTGACCACCTCCGGCCAGAGAAGGGATCAGAAAGTCGGCGGAACCTGCGAGGACTATGAACTCGGGCTCCTTTGAGTTGTATTTTGAAAGCTTACGGGTTGCCGCGGCTACCCTGTTGAGTTTTCCCGTGTTGCCGCACGTCAACTTGACACCTACAATGTTTGGATGTCGTGCAAGAGTGATGATTATATCCGATGACATATCCATGCCCCCCACGGCACCAGGAAAATTGTAGATTATGATCGGAATAGGAGACTTGTCTGCGACTCTTGTGAAATACTCCAGGATGGTTTCCGAGGCCGGGGCAAATAACGTGGCATAGTAGGACGGGGGTAGGACGAGCGCATAGTCACCGCCAGCGTCCCAAGCCTCATGGCAGTATTGTACGGTCTCGCGCGTGCTCTGGCTTCCACATCCCACGATCACGGGTACATGCGAGAAGCCGCCGTCATTCAGGGCGGCTCTTGTAGTGGCGGTGACCAGCTGCCGCTCTGGGTGGGAGAGATGAACGGCCTCTCCGTTGGAACCCTGCGTCGCAAGGCCTGTTACACCAGCCTCAGCGAGTCGCACGGCATGAGCGGCAATTGCAGTGGTGTCTACGTCTTCTGTATCTGGATCGAAGAAGCACATGGTTGGAACATAAACGCCGGGTGTTAGAGGGCGTGTTGTATGCTGCACGTCATCCAAGCGACCGTCTGCAGAAGCGCTTGATGAAGAATCAGATATGAAGCTGTGATTTCCATTGCTTGAGTGCCATTGGCTGTGGTTGTATAGCTGGTTGCTGAAGGACCCTGTTGGTGAGGGGGCGTCACTATGAGGAGGCATGATATAGCTTGACACTATTGGGACTGTCTGGAAGTTTGCTTGAGATCAATGGTAAAGGTAATTGATAGGATTTATCAGTATGTAACAGACTATATTGTAAGCTCTTCTTTAGGTATACAGTCGGAGGGAAAACTGGCTTTTATATCATCTCTTGGGTATCAATATTCTTCAACACTCACCCATATATCGCGGCTCAAAAGGCTCTCCAGTCACGAACCGGCAACTTGATCACTCACAACTTCTCGTTACTTCACGGCGGGGCCATAATAAGTCAAATGATACAATTCATCAACTCCGAGAGGACGATTAAACCGGTCAGAGAAACGGGCAGCTCAAAGATTGGTAGACTCGAATAAATACTCCGCTTGTATGCATCTTGCTATGAGGGGAAGTGCTCACGGGAGTCGCTTCTTGGGGTTATTCCTGCAGAAAATCCGGGGTCGACGAGACTACGATTCAGGGTCTAAGAGTCGCTTGACGAGTCTGGAGCGTGGGGGTTTATTTGAGCCTTTTGAGGCCAGTCAACGTTCCATTAGAGCCATTAGCACGGAGTGCTGAGAGGCTTCTGGAGTGTACAGTACATTACAATTGCGGAAAAGCTTAAGGAGATGAAAGGATCATGGCATGGTTGCTGCGCCTCTAAAGTGTATCATTCAAGAGGAAGAGTCCGGCGAATCTAACTGAAATAAGCCGGATTTAACATGGCTCTTTCGAAGCCAAGCCATTGGCCGCGAACATAAGAATGTTTATCTTTATGTGACTCTATACTTGATAGACAAGAAAATGCTTGATCGATTTCGATTCTGTACTACATCTTTGACGGACCAGAGGATATCTTTCCAGCTTGGAAGTCATCGTGATGCCCGATAGCCAGTCACCAGTAACAATTACTTGTGTAACCATCCCAAGCATCGTGGCATGTCCCTCCATAAACCACGTTGGTCCGAATGGATGTCATTCTTTAGTCAACTTAATTCAGCTGTCAGCTTTGATGACCCGTGATGTGTCAGGTGTTCTCGACAGAACAAGTTTATCCAACACAAGGTCTTCGCAAAGAGTTCAAAATTGCGTCACAACTAACATTTTCAGTCATTGCAACCCAAACGCAGTCCCCCATAGGGAATCAAGTTAGCGAAGCAATATATGCATAAAACGCCAAGCTGCCACGGGATGTCGGTGTCTAAGAGTGCTTATTGCCCCCTTAAACCTACTCCACGTCCATTGCTTACCCTGCAGTGACATATTGAGTCGTATTGTCTAGAGGTTAGAATGAAACCAGAAGATCGTAGAATGCGTCAATAAAATAAAGAGTTTCGGCACAGTAGCATTGGCGGTTGGTGAGTAGTGGGAGTGCAATTAATAAAAACTAACTTTGGTATTGACTTAGCTGAACGTTTAGAAGATTGTATGGTGGTATCCTTAGAAAACGATAGGACGAGCTTCAATGCCTCATTTTTCACAACCAGACTATATAGCTCTCCAACAGACACAGAGCTAAGGAAGACTCGCATGTTCTTCATGCAACCAGCCAAAGGCTGCCAGAGGAACAGACCACACTTTCCTAACCCCCTGACGTCTTGCCCTCACATGATGCTCACTACACAAACGCGGAAACTCGACGATGACCGCAGAAAGGCACGTTGCTACGGGAATTCTGGACGCTTCTGTTGGTCAATAAGGCAAGCACCAAACCGGAAAGATTGAAGAGAATCATGTTTCTCCTCCATCACTCCGTAGCCGCCGATATACACAGCTCAGTTATGTTATGCACTACGCCACCGGGATACCGCGACCACGCACATCATCGTCGCTTACAGCTTCTCCGCGCAATGCATGCTATACGTTCAAGTGGGGGAGGCCGTGCCAATGTCGAGGCATGTTGGGGGTAAAACATGGCATGTTGTTGACATCGTGCATTTAAACCGAGCAAGCACATAAGCCTCGGTCAAAAGTAGGGAGCGTCTGGTGTCATCTAAGTTGATTCAATCAGTAAAACCTGCCTTGATTCAAGCGATATGAGGTAACCCTGACCAAAATCGTTCATTCGTAAACATGTCCAAAGCATCTGTAATAACGCCAAAAACCACAGCCTCATGTTCGCCAGTACGCCATATGAGTGTCCAAGGGAGAAAGAAGTGAATATTTTATACAATAACCAAGTCGTCATCGTCATCGTCGAGCATGATCTGCCGCCCGTGGAGCTCGTCGCCTAGACTCTCCCTCCCGGCTTCACGGATCCCCTTGTCTGTTACAAAGCGAGTCTTCTTCCGTACTGGAGGTTGTTCATCTTTGCGTAGCTTTTCCCCCTCCTTCATTTTTGCGAGCTTATCCTTCAGATTGCTCCCCCAGCCAAAGGCCGTTGGGCCGCTACTTGCGGCTGAACCTGTTTGAGAGCTAGCTTGAGAGCTGTCCGGGCGTTTCCGTTTTACAGGGCTCAGATGTATGGCAGAGTCCTTTCCCAGTAGGCCTAGTGACTTTGCGTCTGGCCTGTAAGCTTCCTCTGACGCTTGTGCAGAGCTCGAGGGTTGGGTAGAAGTGCCCGCGGCAGGCAGTGCCGCAACCTTCGAACCAGCTTGTCGCATGTATTCCCTTCCAGCTGCGTTGCCAACTTGACCGAGCTTCTTCATCATTTCACGCTCTTTCTCTTTTGCCTCCAGATCTCTCTTCAGGAATTCTGCTCTTTCTTTTCGATCGTTTGGTGTTCTGTCCTTCCCATCAATCAGGTCTGCTGCACTCATGGAACGTGAAGCGAACCAATGCGTTTTTGTTTCCCAGTCATATTTCCTGGATGCCTCCTTTTTCTTTTCGGCGCCCCAGCCAATAACCTCCCTAGAGTTATTCTTCCTGGCGCCGAAACTGCTTCCGTTTACTTCCATTCTTGTCGAACGCTGTTTGCGAAGGGCTTCGTTGGAGTGGAATTCGCAGTGATGGGTGCGCTTCTTATTGATCCAAACGCCACATAAATCTCCATCCTTCTTGACCGATTGGCAGCCTCCAAGATCACGAGATGTGCCAACCTCAATAATCGAGTCATCATCTGAGTTGATGACAAGACTGAACTTGCCGGTGTCATGTCTTCCGGGTGGCGGTGGCATAATAGTCGGGTTGAGAATCGCAATAGCAGTCCCTTCTGTGAGCTTCCAGTATCTTGTGAAGCCAGAGTTGAAGAGGAAAAGGTCCAGTTCCCATTCTAGATCGACTAGGGTCATGACCATGTACTTACCCCTGTCCTCCGTCTTTCCATTCTTCTGCGTTGGTTTATGTGCGCGAGGTTCTGATTTCTTTGCCAAGATACCGAACACCACGATGTCTTGCTCAACATCTGGCAGAGCAAAGTCTGGTGCTTTAACAACTTTCAGTATATCCTTAATTGTGTATACTTTCTTGCCGGAAACGTGCCGAGCAAGGACGCCATGTGGTAAAATTCTCTTGGACAAGTGAAAACTCGAGTATGGCTCGAAACCAGCCGCTTGTTCTTCAGATACTTCGCCAGGGGGTGTCTTTTTCTTCCGAACCAAAGCTGTAGAAGTTGCCGGAGCCTTCTTTTCGGGAGCCTGTACGTTAGGCACAGTGTAACTTCGTTGCAAGCCAACAGGTCTTGTTGTCCCTATGATCTCCTCCCTTGAGAAGGACGGAGCTTGCAATGGCTCGTCTGGTATCTCAACAGCTTTCTTCTTGTACTGCTCCATCTCATCCTGGCTGATACTAAACGCATTTGATCTCAATTTTTGAATGTCCTTTTGTCGCTGAGCCCGGGTAGCCTCATCTGTCCTCGCGGAAACAAGCCGTTCATTGAAACTCATCGGACGTGTCTCTGATGAGAAAGAAGAATTGGCGCTCCCTGTAGTTTTCGACCTTGTTCTTCGCAAATAGCCCGTTTGTCCAATTTCAGTCGACGTTTGCGAATCCCGGTAGCTGGGCGCACGCTTCAAGGAGATATCCCGAGCCTTAAGGCCCTTATCAATACCCAGCAACACTCTACTTGGCGATGTTTGCACAGAGGGCTCTTGCACCCTCCTGACCGGAGACGCAGGCACTTCCACATTGTTTTGTTGTCGAACTAGTGGTTCCCTAGTTGGTGTGGTTGCGCGCCTCGATCGGCTTGGAACTTGCGTTGATATCACGAGCTCCGAGGTCGTGGCATGTAAATTCTCAACGCTTTCTTCCGACTTTTTTGATTTCGCAGCCTGCAGCTTTTTCAACTTGAGCCGCGCCTGAATCTCTTGAAGCTTCAGCTGCAGGGTTTCCTCATCCTCGTCGTCATCGTCGTTTTCAATCTCGGCCATAAGATTCATCGAGGGTAAGTTGTGAGCTCTTTTCGACGGCGAAGATGAAGGCGATGTCATCATCTGTCGGTATCGCTCTCGGCCACGCGGCGTACTAAGCAGAGCTTCATGCGGAGATCTTGGGGGCCATTGGGCTTCGGTTCCTTGTTTTGCTGGAGAAGCTGTGGCATGAAGGGTCAGTGGATTGTCACATGAAAGAGCAGTTCAGCAATTATTGCGGTCTCACCTGGAGCCATGACGATACCTGGGACAGAAAGTAAATTTCAGGCGGGTGGCCCAGAAACCGGCCCCGTTGGTACGCAGTCACTTAGAAGGTTTTGGATATAAGTGCTCGTCCTATAGCATAGAGCATATTCCCAATCGATTAGGGCGGTAGGTATAGCCTTGGGAGGGCGGCAGCCATTCAGCTGGATCTGTCGAGAGTCGTTGGTGAAGGGTAAGATGCTGGAAATGCGAATTTTTAGTTGTTGATGCAGGGAATGTCTGTTTCAGCGGTGTTGAAGAGGACATCCACACCCAATGCGTCAACCAATACTGACTGGGCGGGCGCAAAGCTCTTTGCTCTTTGCGCTGGCTAGGTGGTCTTGGCGCCGGCCTCTATACTAGAGCACCCACTAACCTAAATGCGGTAAGTTACTTTCATTTGTAGCCCCTGCAACCGTCGCGTACAGACGCGTCTCAACGTGTTTAATTCAATATTACGGATACATTGTCAGGTACGAGTATCACTTCTTAGCTTTTCTATCAGATCACACAATTGTCTTTGGAGAGCATCAACGCGTCTGTCTTGGTCCATTTTCTCTTTTGGATTTCCTAAACGAGTAGCTTTGTGCATATTCATATTCATATTTAATTATCTTCCACACGAAACTTGCAATGGCAAGGACAAGATCAACCAAAGCTGCTACAGCTGATACGAAAGCCTCAGAGCCTAAATCTACTTCATCCAAGTTCAGTCTGTCGTCTCGGTCAGAGAACCCCTCGAAAATCTTCATACTTCCTTCAAAAGCGACGCCCGAAGCACGCATAGTCACTCTTCCCAATCCTAGACATGGCCGGCCCGCGAGATACCTGGTGTGTCCAGAGACAGGCATATACGAATTCACCAAGGTTGCGACACCAAACACGACTCCTCGAAGTTGGCTGATCGAGACTTCGTCAGATTCTTCTACAGATAGTGTCAGGAAGACTGGAGTATCCATGTGTCAGGATCTCTTTCTAGCTACTTCAATCGACCCCCTATTTCTGGTCCTTCCAGCGTTGACGGAAACCCAGTCAAAAAGCTCAGAAGGAAAGCGGTTGTTTCTTTCCAGTGACGACTACTTTGACAAGCTACCCCAAGGGTCATCACATCTATCTGAAATCTTGCGATGCGATAAGACACGGAAGCTCATCGAGAGCCGAATGGCCGAGGTTTGCGATACTGTTGAAGCAGGAGATGAGACCATGTTCCGAATAAATGAGAATAAACTCGTCAGGATCGTCCTAGAGAAGGCAAAGAGAATGCACGAGGGCGGACTTGCTTCAAGTATGGAGGAGAAGTTCGTGAAGAAGGCTCTGGAAGCACCTATCCTCGTACAGAAGCGTGAAAGGACAGAGGTTACAACGACAACAAGGACAGAATCTCAGACACCTATTTCGGAATCTGCCGATTCGCAATCGACTGCAGCAACGACAGAGACCGAAGTTTCTGAAACCTCTACCGCAGCCACCTCTTTTACTGAAGAGATGACCTCAGAAAACGTTGTCAGTGCCATTGAGGCATCTCCTGAGATAATAAATCTTCAGAGATTACGGACCGCATTTAGTTTCATTTGCTCAGGTTACATTGCCTCATCTCTTACAGCTCAACTGGAGGACCTGCTGAAAAGGGAGGCTATTGTGGACTTCTCACCTCTTGACGAGTATCTGGCTAAGCTTAGCAAATTGCGGGCCGAGGCCATGGCTGCACACTCCATCGACTACTCTCGCAAGCGTGGCTTAGATGAGGATGAGGACGAGGCTTTTGTCAAGAAGAGAAAGATGGAGGAGGAGAAGAAGAAGAAATCGCTTGAGAGCAGGGGAGTTCGGGATCTCAAGAAGGTCAACACCAAGGGCATGAAAAAGATGAGTGACTTTTTCAAGAAGAAGTAATAAGAAGAATCTCTATTGGGTATCTGTCATTAAAACGTGAGATGAACCTGTTCTGGCTTATCTAGTCCCCCTAGCTCGGCGCGCACCAAATCCTCGACCAATATTGGAGGTTCCGCGAGTGCTCGGTATGCTCGATGTAGTGCTTTCGGATGTATAGCTAGAGCTAACACTCCTCGTCGTAGCGGCTCGGCCTCGTGCTCTCATGGTACCTCTGAGCCCTCTGGTTCCCCTGGTTCCTCGTGCAGGTGCAGTTGCGGCCAGTCTTCGTCTCTCCTCTTCTTCTTCTCGGCGCTGCCGCAACTCCTCGCGCCTTTGTTCCTCTTCAGCAGCTCTTCGCTCAGCAGCCTGCTGTTTCTGAATGGCTTCAGCCTCTTGTTCGGCAATATCCTCTGTTGCGCCTTTCCATGCAGGGTTCAAAATCAATCGCTGGTTATGCTCGGTTTGGGATAATATCCGTGTCCAGGTGTTGAGAAGAACGGAAGCATTATTCACTGTGCTCAATACGGTCTGTAGGTAGTTAGTAAATGTACACTCGATGATGCAATGAGAAACATACGTTCATATTACCCCCTGCACGTTCCAGGGTTGAGATGACACCCTCAATGGACTCGTTTATGCTCCGAACACCTTCAAGCTCTTCGCGTAGGGCGGCTTCATGGTCGATGGGCTCTGGGCGCTCTTGTGTTGGCGTTTTGGGGGATTTGGGGGTTCTAGGAGTCCTAGGTCGAGATGTTGGTGGGCCATCATCATTTCCAGGAGACTCCCAGATGTTGGACTCTGTATATTCAGTTGTATCGTCAGCCATTGTGGCAGATAGCTATGACATCCAATCCAATAGAAGCGGGTCCAGCCTGTTGGGAATAGTATCAGTGACCGACTATGTTGGAAGCGCCAGTCTATGGTCGCAGTGAGGTCGTGTGTTTCGAGGCGTCCACGTTTCAGATATCGTGTACAAGACGTTGTGGCGTATGCAGGGTCACTGTGCTCCGTAGGCGTTTGTTGATTTGATTGTCATGGGTTGCTATAGAACGGCAGCTTTTGTTTAATTCATGAGGGGCACCACTATTGTTCCCACCATTGATCTAAACTCATAGCTCATGGCTGCATATTGATTGGCCGTAATCTGTCGCGTAACAGACGCGTCAGGAGGGGTTGCTGACACGACGGACGCGGTTAGGTTGCAAGTGGACCTATCTTTCAGTGGGTAAAACCTGGTCGCACAACCAAAGAATAGGGAGGCTGGGAGGCTGGTGCACGCTCCAGGGTAGTTTTGTCCCAGCCACTTCTCTCATCTTGATTCTTCTTCCTATTCAAATGTAAACATCTTACCCTACAAACTCCCATCTCTAAATCTGCCATTATCATCAATTAGCAAGCGACCTCCATCATTGCTCTCTTCTGTTGCTATACCCCAAGACTATATACCCCCTTTCAAGACGACGACTGTAGTTCACCGAGTCAACTGCGCTGTTTATCACGTCAGTCAACGAGGCCAATTCGAAGCATTCCTATCGGGTAGACCTGGCAGCCATCGAGAACATACTTCTAGTATCAAGTCGAGATTATCCTTCGAAGGATTAGCTTAATATTCCAGCAACGCCCCTCAACCGTTATAATCGATAGTCGGCACTGACTGCCACTGCCTCTCACTGCCTATCAAAATGGCCAACAAACACGGCTCTACCACTCCTCCACCGCCCACCCGCATCCGCACTCCGCCAACTCCTCGCCTCGGATACCAGGACAACTGGGAGCCTTTTACTCCTCGCAAATCCGCACGAATTTCATCACAACGAACAAGATCTCCTTCACCCGGCGCATCACATCGTCAAATTCAATCACCGCATACTGTCAAAAAATCAAACAAGCATTTGAGCGCTGCCATCGCTTCTCCCTTGCCGCATAAGAAGCGCATGCCCGCCAGCGATTTCGTTCGTCGCGCAACAGAAAATATGCAGGCGGAAACTTCTCGCGATGGTGCGAGCCGTCGCACTCATGAGCGATCTACCTCTTCCGCTACTGGAGCCGCTGGCATGCTTCCTACACCATCAAAGACTCCTCAAAAACCACCCACAGAAAAGAAAACCGCACATATCAAATCAGTCGCCCGCAACCTTTTCAGTTCCGATGCCGATGAAGCAAATTTGACTCCTAGGAAACGAGCTTCCAAGAAGTACACCGGCATCTCGATGGAGAGCTTTTCCGTGGAAGAGGTCGAGGAGCCTATTGAGATCTTTACCGATACCCGTGATCGAGTACCTGTTCGAGATGAGAGTCAAGAGAATCCTTTCCTTATATCGGAAAACCCATTCTTCAGCGATGCACCGCGACCTGAGACTACTAAACGTCACGACAAGCGCAAGGTCAAGGTTCCTGGAGAAGGCATCAAGACTGTTGACGATCTTGCTGATCGCAAAGATGGCATGGTGTACACCTTGTAAGTTTTGTTTAACCCAATCATTATATTTACAAATGCTAATTCGAACAGCCGTGGAAAGAGATTCTTCCGCAAGTGGTCTGAGCAAGAGATGGATGATTTTGATGACCTTCAAGCCGCGGAAGAGGATCCCGAGGCTCATCTCAACCGTCCATTGACTCGAAGTTCCGTAAAACCTCGTCTTCTGTTCCAAAATGACAAGACGGATGAGCAGATAGAGGAAGAGGAGGCTGTTACTGACGTCGAGGAAAACGAGGAGCCACATTTCCCAGAAACCCCATCCGCGTCTAAGCCAGAGCGCGCTTGCACTCCTGAAGCGCCCAGGTTTGCTCCCGCCTCACCACCTTCTACTCGACGAGTCACTCGATCCACCAACAAGTTGCCTGATGAAGGTACTCCTATTAAGCCACCTGGAAAGCGAAGCCCCTTCGACTCTTGGCGACGAACCAAGGAAGGTGTCGTGAAATCACCATCGCGCAAACGCTCCGCAGACAGCGTCGACACTAGGGAGTCTAAGCGTACCCGCATCTAAGGAAAGCCCCTCCCCGTGCATAGGCGTTACATTTGCTTTCTACTACGATGTCACATCACGGTCAAGTGGCTGCCCCACGAACTTCGATAATTCTGCATGGTTTAATCCTACTTTCCGCCTTACAATGGAATTTCGGACCGGTTTTACGGCGTTGGACGGAATTGGCGCGTTAAAAGGACTAGTAGGCCGATAGGGACGATGGCATGTATTGCGTTGAAAGACAGCGTTTATTGTTGATACCTGCCCTCGGAAGAGGAAGTGAGGATGGAAGCCCAAGTCTGTTTCGTTTTATTTTATTTGACAAGGTTCGGTATCGGCTGGTCTGGTTTGTTAAGGGTTTTCCTAATGGAAGTCTTCGATTCTGTGAGCCCCGGTTTTTAGGTAGAATTTTTTTTTTTCATGATATAGTCGAATAAAGGAAAAGACAAGTTCATGATAATTACATGAGTCCCCCCTGGTACGTGTACCTGTGAACATTAAGCCCAATTGGAAGTCATTCTGTGACGTACTGACGTGCTTAGCGCTCTCTCTGACTCTGCATGCCTGCCCCACGTGCCCCTCATTGCGATTTCACCCTGACATTGATTTCATCAAATACTCTACGTATCTCACAGGCGTTACAAGTGAGTGAGTCCTTTCTCTCTGTTTTCTTCTTATTCTTTAGAAAAGGCGACATACTGACTATTAGAACAGCTTGTAAAGTCCTCGTGACGCCTTCTCTATAGTTCAAGATGCATATCCTCGTTACCAATGACGATGGGCCGCCATCACCACATTCCTCTCCCTACGTTCACTGTCTCATTCAACAGCTCCAGCAAGCCGGTCACACCGTCTCAGTCTGCTTGCCTCATACCCAGAGATCATGGATCGGAAAGGCACATATGATTGGGCAGACTCTCAAGCCTCTGTACTACCGCCCTTCAAATGTTATCCACGGTGAGGACTCTCCAGGCACCACTCATCATCGACCCTCCCCCTCAGGAGATGTCGAGGAATGGATATTGATTGATGGAACGCCGGCTTCCTGCGTTCAGATTGGCCTTCATCACTTCTTCCAAGATCGAGGCCCTATCGACCTTGTTGTTAGTGGGCCTAACTATGGCAGAAACACCACAGCAGTCTTTGCCCTTAGCTCGGGGACGCTGGGTGCTGCTCTAGAGGCCGCTGTTTGCCAGAAGAAATCCATTGCTTTAAGCTACGCCTTCTTCACTCGAAACCATGACCCAGTTATTATCGAGGCAGCTTGCCGGCGCAGCGTCAAGGTCATTGAAACACTTTACAATCAATGGCCCACAGACGGCAGTGCAGACCTCTACAGCGTCAATGTGCCTTTGGTAGAGGGTTTGGAAAACAACAAGGCTATCTGGACCAACGTTTTGCAGAACTACTGGAGAGAAGGCGGCTGCTTCCAAGAGATCGAAGGTGAAGCAGGAGACGAGAACGAAGAAGAGGAGAGGATACGTGAGGGTGTCGGAGGTGAGGTGGATGATGCTGCCCGACCTAGCTCACGAAAAGGACATACCCATAAGCACTTCAAGTGGGCGCCAAAGTTCACTGACGTATACAAGAGTGTAGAAGAGTCTGGCCCTGGCAACGACGGATGGACTGTGAAGGAGGGATTGACAAGGTACGTTATTTGCTACGAGAAAAGTTTCATTACTGACTATGCCAGCATCACACCTCTCAAGGCAAACTTCATGCATGGTCCTGGAGAATGGAACCAGCAGGAACTCAAACTGTAAGTGTCCTCGATCGAATGATATGTGGTGGGCAGAGCTGGGAGAGAAGCACAATGCCTGTATTCTACCAAGATCACCAATAGACATATTCTTACTGTTGATAAAGGGACTCAGGTTCAGAGGCAAACCAAATCAAGCAAGAGGTGGCTTTGAGGCAAAAGAGCCCTTCAATTCAAGCCGTCATCTCCTACGAAGACTCTTACGTACAACCACTCATTCTCTCCGCCCTCAACTCACTGTTCCCCGAAGGGGTATTCAATGTAATCACTGAAGTACCGGAGTCTGATGAGCCAGCTCTTGCGAAAATCATCCCCTCAGGTGGAAATATTCTACAGATTGTGGCGTACGAGGCCATCGACTTTGAGTATGCCGCCAGCCATGAGCGTACAACTCTTATCAACAGCTATATGATTCGTAAGGCTCTTATCCGAAAACACTTCCTGTCCGCTACCGTGGATCACTGGGTCGCAAAGCATCCCGAGTCCGTCTTGGGGCCTCACATCAAGCGCAGTGAAGCCTTCGAAGTCGACTTCGCAGAGTTTCTAGACGATGCTCTAGTGGAAGCTTTCGATCTCCGGGAGAGTATGGAACGCAACGAACAACAGTCAAATCCTAAGGATAAGGAGTGGTGGATCTTGAAGCCAGGAATGAGTGATCGTGGTCAAGGTATTCGACTCTTCAGCTCCATGGATGAGCTTCAGAACATCTTTGACATCTGGGAGGAGGACCAGCCTGACACTGATGATGAAGAGGAGGATGTTGCTGGGCAGGACAATGATGGGGACAACATTATGACCTCGCATCTGCGACACTTTGTTGCGCAGCCGTATATTCACCCACCCCTTCTGGTCGACGACGAGAAGCGCAAGTTCCACATTCGCACCTACGTGATGTGCACAGGAAGCCTTGATGTTTGGGTTTACAAGCACATGCTGGCGCTCTTTGCCGGAAAGCCCTATGCAGCGCCGGCAGATGCCCCAGAGGATATTGAGTCTTTCCTTACAAACACATGCCTTCAAGATTCACCAAACGAAAACACTGTCCGTCGTTTCTGGGACTTGCCCTTGTCAGGCGATATGCGCGATGATATCTTCCGCCAGATCTGCGAGGTGACTGGGGAGATTTTTGAGGCTGCAGCAAAGGCTATGCCTATCCACTTCCAGGCGTTACCCAATGCTTTCGAGGTCTATGGTCTAGATTTCCTTGTGGATGCCCAAGGAACTGCCTGGCTGCTCGAGATTAATGCGTTCCCCGACTTTAAGCAGACTGGAGGTGACTTGAAGGAGATTGTGTCTGGGTTCTGGAAGGGCGTACTGAGACATGGGGTTGCGCCCTTCTTTGGAGTTGAGAAATTGATCAAGGACCAGGAGGGCGCCGAAGACATGATTCCTGTCCGTAAGGTGGATTTGGGACGACGATAAGGTGTACAGTCGATGAGGATAGAGTTACGAAAAGTGCGGCACATTTAGTCGTCAACACCTTCTGCTCAGGGAGTTCAAAAGTTCTTTGTTTTACATTCACACCTAGCACTTGTTGCACTTATCATACCATCATGTCCCTTCAGTGAAACTCGAGTAGCACTGATAGAATCGACTGAACCTAACTATGGTCTAGATGTGCGCAGCATAGCCCATTGCAATAGCTGATCAATATCTTGACATCGGGGACTGCTCAACGTCGGAACACCACGATTCCGTTATTGCACAATCCACAAAATGCAAGACTAGACAGGGCCAGATAGCACATGTACCATTTCTCACCGTAACTTAATAGTTAAAAATCTATCATATAGGAAAGTGTCGTCCAAAGAGGAGAAACGGACACCGCTGATTGGTGTTTGGAAATACACAGCCACGATGCGGTGGAGTTGAAAGCAGTCCCCCAAAGAGCCATTTCTCTAAGCATACGTCTCTTTGTAAATCTCTAATTCAAGAGAGTCAAAATTGTGGAAATTCATCAATAAGGAAGTTGACTTTTGCTGTGCCGTAGCGAAGCATGGACTTTTAGTCGAGAAGGAGGCTGTGCTATGATAGTAGTGAAGGATTTGATGATACAACTGAAAAAGGTTTCTCCCACGAAATGAAACCAGATGTTACGTTCCGGATCGCATGGGTTTTGTAATTGTAGTTTCACTGCAGGGAGTATCATGTCAGATACGTCAGGGGTTTTGTTGTTTACTGTTTACTAGGGCGTACATCTACTTACGTGAGATTGAGATCGCGAGACATGACAAACAAGGACCGTCGTACTCCGTACAACCGCTTGGAACCGGATGTTGCCATGATCTTGGCAAGACTTGTATAGTCATATTTTGATAGTGTCATATTACATACACTTAATCCTGTGGCGCAAACTGGAGATTAGTCTTACCAGGTCAATTCATGCTCTCCCAGATCTTAGGCTTCCTATATTGTTTGCGCGAGGCTCAAGATCTGACAACTCATGGCGATATTCTTCCCCATACTATTCATAAAGAATCGGCCTCGTAGTTCATGGGGTTTGTAAGGCATTATCGGGACTTTCCAGGTTTGCCATCTTCTCATCCAGTTTCAAAGCGGTTAGTAAATCCTGGGCTAGACGGTCCAAGTCTGGCCCAATTCTGCTTCGTTACTCCAAAGACGAATACGTCTAGCGAAATGGGGATGAGTATCATCTGATACCTCCTGTGTCCTCATAAGACATTGCTCCGCAGATCCCGCGGTTCGATGTGCTGCTGCAAGAGGCGAAATGCCTATGTATTGATGGCCACTAAACATGCATATTGACATGCACTTTGCATGCCTCTCCAATATAGTAGTCAGCCACAAAACTTCGATTTCCATGGTGAGCTGGATGTAAACTGCATGAATCGTAGTGACGCGCTCAAACCTTGAAACTGACAAGTCTCGTTGAGTGTAACTTAGATAAAACTAATACTTGGGCTCAATTTGTGGTCGAACAGCTTCTGTGGATTTACAGACAAATTTTTTAATACAATTGGTTACGAAAACTCATATCACATGTGATGCAACAAGCACTGCCTCCTGGGTCATATGCATTAGTAGTTGGGGGGTAGTTGTGAGAGCTGAGACGCCACTTGGCTAGCCAGGCACATGCTTTGCACAATACTATTCGGCCAACTAGGATAGCCAAGCTATAGACACTGCCGAGTGTTTAACCGGCCAAATCATTTCATTGAGAATCAAGTCACGGCGAACACCAGGCCGAAGGCAAGAAAGCCAGGAAGATACCGGGATACCGCTCGATACTTGTGTACATACC